ATGATGTTCCTAGGGCAGGCGGGCATAGGGAGGAAAGGAAGCTGTCTCCTCTCCTCCTCTCCTCCTCTGAAGGAAACTTTGGATGCTGTAGAATTTAGCAGCTAGAAGGGTAGCTGCTTGAGGGGCAGTGCAGGAGGGCACAAGATGGTGCTGGCTGCAGCTGGATGGAGGGGACTTTGGATGAGGGAAGCAAAGGGAGACCCCCACGCAGAGAGCTGGGTGGCAGAAGAGCAGGAGGTGAAGAGACTCTTCTCTCGCCCCCTCAGGGCCCCACAGCTTCCTTCATCCTCCTCTCTGCTCCCTAGTCCCGGCCCCTTAGGCTTGGAGAGACCAAAAAAAAAAAAAGAAAAAGAAAAAGAAAAACACAACAACTGTGCCAAGAGAGAAATTGCAGCTCCTCAAAAATGGAAAGCAGGGTCATCATCCTAATATTTTGAATGTGGGCCGTTCCAGAGAACAGCAAGACGTGTCAGGAATGAGAATGGTCTGAGACAGGGCCCCAGGAACACTGGCCACTCCACCAGGGAGATGAAAGAATTTTCTCCTTCCTTTGCCTTTTAAATATAATTCTGTCTGCCCTTCTCCCCCAACACCCGCTCAACCCTCTTGCTGGGAGCAGTGCAGACATTTAGCAGTCCTGGGAAAAGGCAGGATCCTTTTCATTAACTTCAGCCTGATTGAAGTCCCCAGAGCCATGGCAGATTGCATTTTCCTCCCTCTCTGCCTCCCTGTCATGGATCCCTCCCTGCACACTGCCAGGCTGCTCTGGGCAGGGAACGTTTTTTTCCATTGGGACAGAATGAGGCCATCCTCTGAGTAGGGGGATGGTTTGGAGGAGGATGGCCTCGGCAGTGGCTTTGTGGAGGGACACGCTCGTGTCCTCTTGCCCAGGCCTCAGTTTCCCCTGTGTTCTGCGCACATGTGTCTCACTTTCATCAGAGGCAGGCAGCCAGCTGTGTCTAGGGCCAGGGGTTTCTGCAGAGGGACTGGGGGTTAAAGGCCTCACCCAGGCCTGTTAACTAGCCACGTGATCTTGAGAAGTCACTTATCAACTTCTGCAAAATAAGGACTTAGTCTGGAAGGTTTAAATTTGTTTTAGTGACAGAACATTTGACTCCAAATTAATTTGTGGACATGAAAGAGAGAAAAGCAGAGCTGCTGTGATTGAAGGGAGAGAGAGGTGGACCCAGTGGGGGCTCTCGGACTCGACCACCTTCCCTTGATCCAGTTCCCTAGCAGAGGTGCCTCCTGACCCCACTGGGGACACGGTGACGTTTCTCATCCACCCAGAGATCTTCAACTGTCTCCTTCAGGTCCTGAAACTCTTTGGGGGTCCAGATCTAGGTGGGCTGCAATTGCAGAATACAGGAGGACTTCCTGTCCTGTATTTCTAAGCCCCATCTGAGCACGACACTTCAGTGCTGAAGGCCAGCCCTTTCTCCTTCCTGGGTGCAGAATGTGTAGACATTTAGGAAATAATCAGCTTGGTAGAGGGGAGTAGTCAAGGAGTAGGGTCTGTGTTTGGCCCGAGAGCTCATGTATTTGGTTACAGCAAGGGTAGAAGCCAGGAGCCAGGCAGGCAGGGGTTCCTGGCTGGATGTTGGGGAGAAGCAGACTTCTGTACACGTAGCTCATTCAGGAACCCTTGAGGGAGGAGGTTGCAGGGTTCGCCTTGGGCTGTTTCCCAGGTCAGATAACACCTGGAATGCATGCTAGATTGTGAGGGAAGTAGTCAGAATCCCCAAGGTAAGGAATTCAGGAGTTCTAGAAGTTACTTGATAACCACACCTGATACCTTCCTCACTGCCTCCCCCAAACCCACCTTGGATAAGCTAACAGATCCAAATGGCCCCGGGCCCATTGTATGGTTTCATCCCCAGGAAGGGGAGCTCCCCCTCTCAGTGTGGTAGTGGGTTCCTTCACTGCTCAACCTCTTTCTCTTTCATCCCGTCTTTCCTTCAATTTAACCTTTGACACCTACTGAAGTATAAGCCAATATTCACTCATACACCTACAGTGGGAAGAGAAGAGCTTGCTCTCATCATGTAAGTTAATTAATTCATTGAAATATCTGAGTGCCTACTTCATGCAGGAAATGCTCTAGATACTGAGTGCCATTTCCTCTTGTCGACTTGAAGGGTGTCATAAGCCGTCTCTCACACTTCTGCTCTCCAGGCTCAGCAATTGAGCCATTCTCGCCCTCGCCTCTAGGTTGACAGTATTCCCCACTTTCCTTTTAAGTCATTTAGTCAACAGGTATTTACGGACTAATCACCTGTCTAGACTCCTCTCATCACTTTGAGGAATGCAGAAGTTACATAAGATATAAATCATGGTCTTACTGGGCATGGTCTTATTAGGTGAAAAAATAAAAAATACACAGGACAGCACAAAACAGACCCTTAAACAATTAAGAACTAAATTGTATGCATCTGGTTTCCTTTTAAGAGAAGGAAAGAGGATATCAGGCTTTCAGGAAGGTAGGATAGATCCTTATTTTGTTGAGCTAGGGAAGTAACAAGTAATAACCAAAGATGCCACATCTCTATATCCAAACAGATGGATCTGGCAACTTCTCAATCCCAAAAGCGCTGACATGAGGGAATAGTGCATATGTTGAGATGCTTTGAACACGCTTGTGGTTGATTTCCAGATGAAGCATCTCAGAGCTAGGAGGAAGTAGATGTTTTGTCTCACGCATTCTCTCTGTCTGGTGAACTCTGTTAAGGGGCGGGGGGTAGGGGTGGGGGAGAAAGGTGCCTGCCTGCTGGATTCCCAAAGCCTAGAGAATTCGAGATTTGGTCCTATATGCTAACACCTGTTGGTGGCTCTGCCCTTGCAGTGGTCACTCCCATGCTCAAACCTCCCTCCAACTTTTCTGTCCCTCCTCCCTAGCTCCACCCTAACCTTTGCTCAAGCTCAAGTTAGAGGCCTAGACTGCATTGATAAGATCGGAAGAGTAAATTGTCCTTGCCAATTAAATGAAAGAATGTCTGGAAGAAGGGTCCATGAGTGGTCATTCATCGGGACATGCTTTATATTACTGCCTGTGGCGCATTGTCAAAAAAAGTAGCACTCATCTATTTGCTACACATGGCACCTCAACAAATCTATCTCCAGCATGCTGTCATCCAGAGGCATCATTGTACAGGAGAGGATGAGCTTTGGGAAAATAGATTTTTGGATTTAAACCCCAAATGCATGTACTACCTTTGTGACCTAGAAAATGCTGTTTATCCTCCACAAAGTCTCAATTTTCCCATCCGTAAAGTGGGGCTGCTTTCTATCTCACATGGCAGTTGTAAGATTAAAAAAGAAAAAGTATGGGAAGCAACAGACACTCTGCGGGATACCCCGGCCGTCCTCGATCCTCAGTGTCTCCTGATTCCCTCCTTCCTCCTTAATGTGTGCCGTGGCCGGCATGAGGAGATGCCAAGGGATCAGTGTCGGGAAGGGCACGTCCTTTGTCCAGGTCTTGGCCCTTGCAGCTGCCCCACCTGAACCACCTTGTCCTGCTGCCTTTCCATTTGCAAGGCTCAGTTCAGGCTCCGTGTTCTTTCGGCCACAGCACCCTGACCTCTCTTGCTCTGCGTATGCACAGTTCGGTGCTTACACTCTGCTGCTACCCTCTGCTCACCCTGACATACACGTATCTACTCCTTTGACCCAACGGTGGGTTCCTTAAAGGCGGGGACTGTCTTATGATTAGATTTGGCCCTTGGTGACTGGCCAAGTGCCCCAGTGGCTTGTTGCGTGGCTATTTCATAACAAGCAGAGGGGCCAATCTGGCTGGCTGTCCGTCAGGATGAATGCCGCCTTCTCTGGGCACCTGCAGCCCCGGGAACCTAGCCCTCAGGACTGGGTGTGGGGACAAAGGTACGGCGGGTACATTCTCCACCTCATTTCTGCTCTGTGCCGGAGTTAACACCACTTTACGTATCATTTTTGGCAAAGTGATATAGAGAAGCTGAACAGCCCAGTTGAGCTTTCCTGAAGGCTGGAGGCACTGGAGCCCAGCATGACTCCCTCTCTTTCTTGAACCAAACAAAATATTGTTACAGCAAACATGAAATCTTTCCTATTTTTCGCAAACGCTCTCCAGGCCTAACAAAGCTAGCAGCCACACTCCTTGAATCAAAATAAGCATCTGCCCTTTTTCTCTTTATCCTACAATTTCCCAGCATTTTTGAGCAACAATAAAGAATGTGATTATTTTAGTAATTAATCGTATGCTTCTATTTAGTGCTTTCTGGAGAGGATGCAAAAATATCAAAACATGAACTTGACCCTTTAATATTGATTAAACACAGAGACACAGAAAATATCTAAACCACGGCAATTGGAGGCATAAGCCATGAACACCTAAATAGTATATAAGATCAAAGGTAATATATGATGAAGGGAAACTGAGTCACATGTAGGTGGGTAAAGGGAAGGGTTATTTTTACTGGTCTGATTGAAGAAGAAGAAAAAAAAAAAAGAAGGAGGAGGAGAAGGAGAAGAAAGGGGAGGTGTGGAGCAGGGGGAGGGGGAAGGGGGAGAGGAAGAGGAAGAAGCAGCCCTCCCAGAGGAGATGGTCTATAACTGTCTCCTTAGCTTTGGTATCACAGACTACTTTGATAGTAGGAAGAAAGTCAGGGCCCTTTCCCTAAGGAAGTGTTATACATCTATAAATTCATGCACGATTTCAGGAGCCTGTGGACCTGCCGAAGTCCACACATAGTCCCTGATCTGTAATTTAAGACCCTTAGTAGAATTGGTGGCACATAGAGAGAGGGCAGCAGAGGGAGGTAAAGTCAGAGGTGTGGTGGACACAAGGTGAGAAGGCTGTTGGGTCTAGGTTCCTAGCCCAGAAATAGCATGTTTGCCTTTTACGATTCTGCTTCTCGAGCTCCAGATCTGGGCAGTGGGGTAAATCCATTGCTGATCATTTGTCCTGGGGATACTGTGGGCAGACTTGGAGAAGTATCACTCAGGAAGACTCCTTTGTTCTTTTCCAGCTCCTCACAGCCAGTGACCTTGCAGCCAGCGACCTCAAAGGATTTCAGCCACAGGTAAGTCCACTGATCCTTTTGTGAAGCTCGGGAGAGGGAAATGCCCCATAGTTTGGTCGTGAGCAGATGAAGCTGGGGCCAGGGCAGAAACCCCTATAATGGATCTCCAGTTTCTCTGACAGTCTGACCCTGTCAACCTTGACAATGACCTGGAGCTTGCCCTCTCCTTCATCTTCTCCCTCATGTCTTCTCAAACAAAGCCACCTCTTTCTGCTGTCTCTCAATATTTTATAGTGGGGGGAAAACATAGGCCAAGATGTCTGTAATACATGGTGGTGGGCAGCCTAGCAGAGGAAGAGGCTAAACCAAGGACGTAGAGGGCGGGCTGGCGTTCTCCCCTGTATTTCTCTTTTTGGGGACAGTATACTTACATTTCTGAACTCTTTGTGTGCAAATGACTTAGTCGAGGTGTGGCAGCCAGGTCAATCTCAGACTCTAGCACAGGCAGATGGTTGTGTTTTGCTGATCATGGGCAGGAGATAGCCCACAATTGTCTCTGGCCAGAATGCTGTTTGGAGGTCATCACGGGCAGACCATGGGAGGGAGCAGGCAACGGCTCTCTGAGGAACTCCTTGGTGATAGTAAAGATGGAAAATCACCCTCCCTGTCTCTGGAAGGGGATTCCTGTCAGTGCAGGAATGTGTAAGCATACACACACACACACACAAATACATAGCAGACACACAGAGGTCCTTGTGTTCCCCATACACCCCAGTTGAGACAGAGCATGTATACAAAGAGAGGTAAACCCAAAAGAGACAGCTGTGGTCCTCCATCCCTGCGCCTGTCCTTCTTTCAATATGAACCTTTCTATCACCTTTCCAACCCAGTGCCTGCCCTACGGCTCCCATTGTTCCGTACCTCTGTGAGGAGATAAGCAAGTCATTTTCCAGTAGCAAGAATTCCATATATTGGCAATGTTTTCTTCTTTAAATCTGTTTCACACCCAAGAGCTCACCATGCCCTCACTGTACTTCTATGTGGGGTACATCCTATGTGTCCCCTTATCCTGCAGGGGCACTAAGGACCTGGGGTCCTGGTAAGAAGTGGCCCCAGATCACACAGAGAGCTGGGGACAAGAACAAAGAGTCGAAAGTGAGGAGTTTGAGAAGGAGAATGAACAAAACAAAGGGCTCCAAGGGTGAGAGTCAAAGATGAATCCTTGCTGGTTTGGGGTGAGGTGTCCTCGGTGGATCCTTGTCGATCCATTGTTGATGCAGCGAGGTTTTAAAAATAGACAACCAGCAAGCCTTCTGGCAACTATTGACAACTGATAATCACTTATTCACATGTTCACACAAATTTGCAGGTGAGCTAAGGGAATGTGACACAGAAACGTAAGAAAATCAACATCAACCCATACCCCGTCCACGGCTAGACTCACACACAGTGGCATCCCAGCTAAAGATTCATTTTTATCCAAAAATTTATAAAAATGAAGAGGAAAAAAGACTTGTGTGATGTTTTGTGGCTTGAAAAGGCACATGGTAGAGACAGAGTTTGTGGAAGGGGTGTGTGTGTGTGTGTGTGTGTGTGTGTATGGTTTTGGCATCGATTCTTTCTGAGGTGGTCATATTCTTGCCATGTCTATCGAGCCACATTTCTAGATGTTAGATTTAAAATGAATTGTTTAAGGGAAGGAAAAGTTAGATATATTTGGGGTACGTCCATAACATTTGAGGCCATGATGCTAGAAAGGCAGTTTTTGTGCTCTCACAGATAACCCCACGGTAGCTGGTGCAGATGGCTCACTCCCCTGGTTCTGTCCGACCTTTCCACTTTATTCCATTTGTGTGTCATTCCCCTGAGGCTGGAGACATAAATGCATACTTTTCACTGCTCAGGATGCGTGTTCCCGAGGCCAGGAAGCCCTGGGAATCTTGTGGCCAGAGTGTAATGCCCAGATCAAAGTTAATTCTTCACTGTTATTCCTAAATCAAAAAGGCCCGGATGTGTCTCAAGTCAACACCACCCTTTTGGGTGCTTTTCTGAACAGAAACAGAATGCTGCCCACATGCTTTGGGCTGCCTTCTCTCAGCCCCACTGCACCAAATTGTTGGCTTCTGTTATTTTCCTCTTTTAGTTTCAGATGAAACTGAGCCCCACACATCCCGATGTCGGCAGTAATTCACGGACACGTTCCCCTCCAGGAGGTGTGGTGGACTTTCAGGAGGGGAACTCACTGAGACAGCGAGGACCCCCCACGTCCCCCAGGGGTCACTGTAGTTGGGCCTGTCAGCTTTCACAGGATTCACACTTACCAAGTGCATGTAAAGGGTTTTCTTTTCCTTGGTGCCTGTTCCTGCTGCAGCCACTTAGGGAAAAGAGCCACAATGTCCTCGCTAATCTTTGACGGTCCCTGGCTTTGAAAGTGTGGAGCGGTAACTCTGTTGCACTAGACTGTTCTGTCTCTCTGTCTCTGTACTTTCTGCATCCACATAGAGAAGAGGAGGGTAGGGAAGTGACTGTCTGTCTTTCTGTCCATGATTACTGGTTTGTAAAGACAGCATGCTCATTCCTGGAAATAAGCACGTTACTTCCAAGGACCAGCCTGCTGGCAGATGCTAAAGCTTCCAAGGCTTCCAAACAACAGTGGGTGTTCTCTCCAGCCTGGTGCACTTGGCCTCTGCACCGCACAGGGGAGAACTATCTCCCAGAGTCAGGCCGGGGCTGACAGGTGGCTATTCCCAGCAAGTTTTAAAGGCCCAGGTGGAAAAGCTTCTGAAATTCACATCTGAACCTCTCAGGCCCTTCACTTCCATTTGGTTCCCACCCAAAACACATCTTTATTTTCTGTTCTCTTGTTCTTTTGCCTTTTGAAGGAGCAGACACAGTGAGTCTCCTTTTCTTCTTGTCTTTGGATTGTTGGAAATGAGGACCCTCATCCCCTTTTGCCCGACCATCCCTCTCCACCCGCCATGAGAATAAAAGCAGGCATCTTATTCCCATTAGTAAAATCCACCAATTATATGCTTTCTTCTCCATTCTTCTTTTTTCTTTCTCCCCCCCCGCCCCCGCCCACGCCACTATAAAACCTGTAACAGGTATTCACAGTAGAAATTTTGGAATGCGTGAAGGGAGTCAAGAGGTACAAACTTCCAGTTATAAAATAAATAAGTCTTAGGGATGTAAAGTACAGCATGGTAACTATAGTTAATAATACTGTATATTTGAAAGTTGCTAAGAGACTAAGTCTTTAAGTTCTCATCATGAGAAAAAAAATTTGTAACCTGTGCAGTGATGGACACTATTAAAAAATATAACTTAAAAAAGAAATTAGGGGAAATACAGAAAAACATCAAAAATCTCTTACTCCACCCCAGAAATCTAGAAAATGGCATTTTGCGGTATAGTCTTATGGTCTTTGTTGTACATCGATATATATGCATCTGTTGGATTTTTAAAAATGTGATATCATATTTTATATGCTTTTTGTTACCTTCTTCTTTGTTTGCATGCTTTCCATGTCACTGAAGAATCTTCTAGCAACTGGCCATTTTTGTCTGCTTGCTAGTCTCCTCATATATTTACCACTTCCCCCTTGCTAGACGTTGCATTACTTTTGCGGGCTGAGATCTCCAGGAGCAAGAGATCTCTAGGAGCAATCCCAGGCAAATGCTGAATCCATTGTCCTCATCTAGGATACAAGTGGCATCCAAGGCTTCTTGGCAGTTAGCGCTTGGTTTCTTGGCTCCTGCAGGGATGTGAAGGCTGCTGCTTCTTTTTTTTTTTTTTTTTTAAAGATTTATTTATTATTAGAGAGAGAGAGTGGGGGGGGGAGGGGCAGAGGGAGAGGGAGAGAGAGAATCCTCAAGCAGACTTCTCACTGAGCGCGGAGCCTGACACGGGGCTCAATCCCAGGACTCTGAGATCGTGACCTGAGCCAAAATCAAGAGACGGCTGCTCAAACGACTGAGCGACCCACGTGCCCCAATATGAAGGCTTCTTAAATTTTGCAGTGGAGTGTCCATGTGAATGTGCCCATGGGCACTGGTGTGCACACTTAGGACAGCCCAGGTGGGGAATGTGGTGAAGAACTAATCATAGCATGGGGCCCACACTCAGACGCAGGGTTTCACATGTCCAGCCTCAGTGGGGGAAAGTGACCTTGAAAAGACGCATTCCCGCCAGAGGAGCAAGCCCACTGAAGCACTTGGTTCTCACCTACTTTATAGACTCCCCATTGTTTCAGAGGAAAGAAGGCTACTTCTTTTAGAAAAATGGAGTTTTACTTCCCGTGTGCCTCATGACAGGATCTCATGGGGCAGGTGTAATAGTTATTCTATCAAGGATAGCCATTTTTAAGGAATTTCCAAATGTCCATTGCTTTTATGGCCAAGGGTACATGGTAGTGGAAGGTGAGGAGGGAGTACATCAGGACCCATAGGAAGACATTTTTCAGTGTTGAGAAAATGGCTTTCTGTCACTGAATTGCCATTTTATTCAAAGGCACGCATGGAGACCTTTATGTGGGGCTCCCTGCTGTGCAGATGCTTCCCCAGAATTCGTCAGTTCTGTAATGTTCTGCCACTGATACCAGCTTTGTGACCCTGGCAAAGTTACCTCATGTCTTTAGTCCTCGTTTTCCTTATCAAACAAAAAAGTTGTGTCGCTTATCTCACAGATAGTTGTAAGGATCAAATGGGACAATGTTGTGAAAGCAGCCTAGCGTGATGCCTGCCGCACACAGTGAATTCAATTTTTCTTGCATTAGAGAACTACAGGTTAAATTATTTCAGAATTCCGGAGAAGGAGAAAATGTATCTATATAGAGTGAGATAGGAAGTCTTCCAGGTAGAGGTGTCATCGTACCTGGGCCAAGATAGTGAGAGTGAGGTAGTTAACTCATTCCAGGGCTGCGGAAGCCAGCTGAAGCCCAAAACAAGGGTGGAGATGCTTGGGAATGTTCTGGAGACTTGGAGTAGAGATAGAAGTTACAAATTAGGTTGGAACCAAGTTGCAGAAGGTCTTAAATGTCTGGGGAGATAGTCAGATTTTTT